GAGCAGCAGAACTTCTTCGCTCAGATTAAGGGTTACAAGAGGTGCATCCTGTTCCCTCCTGATCAGTTTGAATGCCTCTACCCTTATCCTGTGCACCATCCGTGTGACAGACAGAGCCAGGTGAGAGTAGCAGTTCTGTTCTCTGCTCTGTGCCAAAAAGGGCATTTGTGAAGATGCTAGGTGGGAGGAAGCTGCGTTGGAATTAAAGCTGCATACCACTTGCTGAGCCTTTGCAAAACCTGAGTTCAGATCTATTAGTTGGTGAATACATTCAGAATAGCGGTGTTTCAGTTTGTGTCTGGTCCTAACTTGCATGTGCTAGGGCTATAAACATCTTCTTACTGATAGTGCAGCTAGGCTGCAGTTGTTGCCTTCTCTGTTCTGTTTCATTGATCAGTTGGTCAAACACAGATTTTCTCAGAGACAAATTGTAGGACTCCTGAGTTGGTGGTACTTTTGGAGTACTGCAGGACCTTGCAATGGAGTTAAGACATTAAATTAATAAGACACGGGGATTTGATACTGAGAGCCAATAACGAGGACTGTCATTGCAGGAAGTTCTTCTGAGTTTCTTAATGTTTTCTTCCATTAGGTGGACTTTGACAATCCTGACTATGAGAAGTTTCCAAACTTCCGGAGTGTGGTTGGCTATGAGACGGTGGTGGGTCCAGGGGATGTGCTATACATACCTATGTACTGGTAAGAAGGATGGTGGGACTGCACAGTGACCAGCAAACAGAGGTTTAAAAGGTCTTCTGCTTAGTGTTGGGTTGGGTCTTAAGAGAATTTTGTTTTGACTTCTCCAGCAAGTATGATAATTTCTGGAATATCTTGGGCCAATCTGCTTCTACTTCTCATTTCTTGGGTGGGCATGGTAATTCTCCCGGAGTATGAGAGTACTCCACTAACATGTGTGAGAAAAGGATCTGTATTTAAATAAGGAGAGCTTTCCAGAAGTTCTGAGGTCTTCATGATGGAAGTATAGGGCAAGGCTTGTCTAGTGCAGTCTGAACACATCCATACAAGGTATTTCACTATAAGCTACAGCAATAATTTATTTTCTTTATCGTGTGGTTTCTATGCAGGTGGCACCACATTGAGTCTCTCCTGAATGGGGGAATTACCATCACTGTGAACTTCTGGTACAAGGTAAGTACAAGCACCTTCCTGTGCAGCTTGGATGGATAGCTCTATCCAAGGGGATTTTTTCAGGTAGATGTGCATTAGCATGTGTTGTCAATATGAGAACTTCATTGCACCAAATCCTTTGCTTTAAAGCTGAAAGCTGCTTTCTCCCTTTCCAGTGGCATGTGGAGAACTGGGTGGCTGGGAGGTGGTAGAATAATCTGCCAATTCAGGAAACATGCAATGAGCTATTTTGATATTTCAGGGTGCTCCAACCCCAAAGAGAATTGAATATCCATTAAAGGCTCATCAGAAAGTGGCAATAATGAGGAACATTGAGAAGATGTTGGGAGAAGCCTTAGGAAATCCACAAGAGGTACAAAAAAGAACCATATAGTCACTGCTGTCAAAGTTGTTATGGCTTAATGCAAAACTCGAGATGCCAACTATTTGGCTCTGCAGGTTTCACAGTGAGGGTAGGAGAAAGCAGGGTTGCTCTGTTGCTGTGAATGGTTCTTCCTGCTGTCTTCAGAAGATCCTTTGGCTACAAAAAGGCAAGCTCTTTAAATTATAATTCTGAAGCGGACTTCAGAAGAGGCTGCAAACAATAGAGTAATCGTTCTTGTATGTGGGGGAAGGTGTACTTTGGCTGTGGGCACTGCCATGAAAGTGTTGCTCCCAAACTCTCCTTAGCCTTCTCTGCAGCAACAATACCCAGTATTTGTCTAAAAAAGAAACTTTTACCTGTTGAATCCAAATCTCTTAAATAAGAGAAATATTTTCTATTGTCGTGTTCTTCCCCCTTAATGCATGTCGCAGTCATCTGAATTCTTTGCAATTTTAACCAACTGGTATTTCAGAAAAACAGTTTGAAGTACTAATAGTATGCTTTTGAAGATCTCCTGCTGATCTGAAAGTGGAAATACTGAACGTGACTAGAAATGTTTTCATGGTCTGTAATCCTTAACATTGTGTAGGAACTCCTCTTTAGTGCACTTGTGTGAGATCATGCCTCTCCCCTTAAATTATCTCACTGCCATAGCATGATAAACTTCCCTCAGTGATCAGACAGTGCTGAGAAATGAGAGTGGTCTTTACTGAAAACAACACCTTACCAAAATTGTCAGTCCTAGCCTTCCTTCCAAGTGACTCCAAGGACCAGAGAGGATTCAATAAGAATGTTCTATCTCTGCCCTGCAAAAAGCAACCCCTGATGACTGTTGGCTCCTCACAAATGTAGGGTGGGAAGTGAAAAAGTTTCAAACAAATACCATAGCTGCAACATTTTGGTGACAACTAAAGCGGTGTGTTGGCAGAGAAGCCTGAAATTTTGGTAGGGTATTTGAGGATGTGCTCAAAGGTACCCCAGTGTTTTATCTAGAAAATACTTCGAAACTGATTTGGTGTACCTTAGGCTCAGTTTGTGCACTGAGATCCTCTGCCCTGGGCTGCTCAGCTCATAAAGTGTTATGATGGAGAGGGAGCAGGCTCTGCAGCTGTCATTTCTGTGTAACTGTCTTAGCTAATGATCTGTTTTTGCTTTAAACAGGTGGGTCCCTTGTTGAATATGATGATTAAGGGACGATACGACTAATGCCTGGCTGCCTGGGTGACTGATGTTGGAGCTGCTTTGTTCACAAGCAATGGAAGATACTGAGCGCTAGTATTGCACGCAGCACTTAACGGACTGATGGGTTTCCTGGCCCATCCCTGCCCCACTACAATAAAGGGGGCTACTGGAACTGCAAAACCGTTAGTACCCCATTCATCCTCCACTCTCATCTAACCGAACCTCCCAAGAAAGAGTCTGCACTTATTGGAAGCTGGATTCATGCTCACTAACTTGTTTTTTTCTCCCTCTTCCCTGTTTGCCACAACAAAGAGCATGGCTTCTGGCACTCGGATGTGTTGCTTCAGGATTTTCAGGCATTTGAAGAAGAGCTTGGAGGAGAACCAGGAGTGATCTTGTTTCCTCAGCCTCCTAGGGTTTGGGCCTCCTGACTGAGTTTGTGTTAGTGCCTGCAGTGGAAATAAGATGGGAAGTGATAGTTTTCACAGTCCTCTGTTGTTAGAGGACCTGTCCACACTCAACTCTGGCACCTTTTTGTATAACAGAAATGAACATGTGAGATGGCCTGTGTGTGGTGAGCAACTGGACAAATGATTCAATTTCTTCAACTTAAGACATCTTTGGACTTAGTACAGGGTAGAGATCAGAGTGAATTAATCTAGTGTGTGAGCACCAAATCCTATGCTCTCCAAATAACATCTGTGTTGTAGGAGCCTAGATAAACTTCCTTTCTGACAGCTTTCTCTGGGGAGCGAAGGCTTTTCTCCTGCTCTTCTGAAGCTGCAAGTGTGGTTAAAAGGGGATGTAGCATTATGAAGGGAGATGCATAAAGGTCAGGGCACTCTCCAAGTCTTGAATGATGAAGCCACATTTTTAAATTAAATTCCGCAGGGGTGCCAAGCTAGACTGTCAAAATGCAGTGTCAGATAGGTACAGAGCCTCCCTTCTCCCCACCAGGGGTGCTGGCTCCTCAGACTAACGCAGGAAAGTGCCCTTTTTACTGAAACTGCAAGAACTCAAGTGTGTGTGGCTGCGCACAGGTGCGCATGTTTGTGTGATGTTGTGTGGCTCCTGTCCATCAGTTAAATCCATGCCAGTGTATGGTTCCCTTCCATGTACAGTCATGTGAAAGAGGTCAGGGCTTTCTGTTTAAATGTGGTTAAGTTTATCTTGATCCTTTTTGTGTTCCGGGACTTGACATGGCAGGTGGGAAGGTGACAAGACCGGGGCGTAGGAACCAGACAAGCCTCTGCTTAAGAGTCCTCAGCAATCACTCTGAAAAATTATTTTGCTTTTTTCATCCTCCTCTTCCATGCAAAAGCCTTAGGCTCATATGGAGGCTGGCTTTTTATTCCCTGAGGTGTGCTGCACTGCTGTCCCTGGTTTGGGGGGGTGGTGCAATGGTCTTGTATATTTGTTGCGGTTGTAATGGATCCCAAGAGCTAGAGGTGGGAGAAGCTGTTTTGTAGCCCATATATGTCATCCCAGAGAATAGTGGGGAATTTGGTCTTTTGAGACCAAATTGTTTTTCCTCTTGTTCTTCAGGGCTTGTTCTGACATGGGATTCTGATAAATGTGTTGAGAACGTGCTGCTTAAGAAGCACTCAGTCTTTGGCCTCGGGCCGCATCTTTTGCTGGGACAGCTCTTGCACCACTTGCTGTGAGCTTGTCTTGCATAAAGGTGAAAGGCTTCTGGAACAGGAGGTCCCAGGGGCTAGCTGTCTAGCTGCTTTACAGGTCAGAACAAATGAAGTATAATTGGCAGCTGCAGGGTCCTTGTTTAAGAAATATGTCTGTGTTGCTGAGTAGTCTGACTGCCATGTTACTTGTTGCAGACTCTCCAGAGCTGTGGTTAGATCCAGACCAAGGTCACTGAGTGGGATACTTACCAATGCTCAGCCTTTGGGCAGGTGGGGAAGTAGGCTAAGCTGCTGACTGGCCAAAAGCAAGGCCTTCCCAGGAATCCTGGGCACATGCCCGTGGTTGAAAGATGCTCAAATTAAATCCCATCACTGTGCTGTTTATTCAGCACACAGTAGTCTCCAGTACTACTTGTTAGGCACCATCAACTCTTGAAGCTCAGGGTGGGAGGTAATATCCCATGTGGAGAGAGAATGGTACTTACAGAACTTTAGGATCCTTTTTTTTCTTTATTTGCCAAAGGTCTCACTTTTAAAGTGTCTGAACAGGTTTTGCTGCACTTGACTTTGTGAAAGCTCATTTACAATGCACTGATGGACTGACTCCCCCCCTTCCCTTTTCACCTTGTGCTTTCAATGCCCCTTGCCATGGTATTGGGAAGCTGTGTGTGTTCTCTGCTAGGGGTGTGTGTGCAGGGGGTGGGGTGTGACAAACACACGGTACCTTCTGAAGTGTAGTTCTTAAATACAACCAATGTTGAACAACAGAACTGTGTGGCTTTTATTTTGTGAGTGGCTGTATAGGAGAGCTGCGTAAGGAGGTGTGTGTGTATAAAGCAGTTACTAGAAAGACTGAAAGGTGGCTTGTGTTCACTGGTGAAAGCTGCTGGTCTCCAGAAATGCCTTCAAAACAGCAATACCAACTACATTTTTGTGTCTTCATGACTTTCCCCATACTTCTGTAAGCCTGAAAGGAAAGGTGGCCTAAAAGTGGTATCCTTGAACCCTCTCAATAACAAGTGTTGGTGGGGAGGGAACAAATTCCCCTCCATGTTGACCTGAATGCTGTTGCTGTGCTGTGGTTACTGACAGGATGGAGTAAACTACACCGTCAGATCTAATGAGTTCTATTAGTTATTATTCTTTGGAATATCTTGTCCTCCATTTGGTCCTTTATCTGATTCATATTTTGGTCAAGGAGGTTTTGGAGGAGGCTTCCTCTGTGTACCTCTGATGTATGTTAGCAGCCTTGAGTGTCAGAGTCCTCTCTACCTAATAAAGACACAGGTTATTTTATGGTAATAACTCTACAGCAATCTTGTCATCTAACAATCAGTGAAATGTTGGCTAAATCCAAACAAATGTCTAATGTGTAGTAAATTGGGGAAGAGTGAATAGAGATTAGGGATGTTGGGAGTGGTGGTGGGACAGACAGCTGTCTGAGCCTGGGGTACCACAACTGGCATTCTCTCCTTGCACTCGGGGGCCAGGGTGAAATGTGCAGGGAGTAGGAAGGACAAGTGGATAAAGTCTTCTGTGACCATGGGCATTCACCCTTCCCTGCTGTGCCTGCTGGGATCATCATCACTGAACCCACACTTGGTTCTGTTCCACTGAACTTAATGGTCTGTTATGTCTGATCCTGTAGTCTTTCTGTTGTGCACATGCCTCTTGGGTAACATGCACGGCTGGCACCACAAAGAGCAGAAATACCTCAAGTTGTGCAGAGCAGCAGAGGAAACTGAGGTATGAGAACTGTCATTTGAAAACCAGATCAGACTCCCAAGACTTTTCACTTGTACTTTTAGGCTTGTTCTTGTTTGCTTTTATTACCTTAGGTTCTATAATACCTTTCTTCTCTTTTGCTTCCCCCATTTCCCTTTTCCTTGACAAGTGAGATTTTTCTAAAGAGAAGTGACCTTTCTCTTAACCCTTGTAGATCATGGCTGTGGGATCCTTCCCGTAGAGTTTTTAGACTGATGCACTGGTTTACCCCCTTGGTGATCAGGGTCAGGCTCAGCGCAGTGATCACCCAGGAAATGTGGAGTGATAAAGCATGTCCAAGGTGAAGCCAGCAGGTCAGGATCAGGGCTAAGGTTGAGGAGGTATGAGACATAGCTGTGATGCAGGCGCAGTTGAACACAGGTGGGATGAAGGGGAAGACCTTCAGCATCAAAGCAGCTCTTGAGGGAAAGAAGGGCAGGCCTGGGCTGAAACTGCTGCTGCTTTTCTTTACAGCCGTTCTTACCAATGAGCAAGCTGACCTTGAACACAGCCAACTGCTCTTTGAAGTTGTAGAATGAGGATGGTGCACTCGGGGTCTTGACAATCTCTTGTCAGGTGTCTGTGGTGACGCATGGTCAACCCATGCTGCCGTCCCAGCCCTGGAAGCAGAGCAGCAACTGCAACTGAGTACTGCCCTTGCACATGTTTTTTCAAAGCACTTTTCTCTAAGACTCCTTTCTGTCACGTGTGTGTGGGGAGCTTCCTTGCCCTCTGGTTTATGTTCTTCATCTTCCATTCCTGTTTCGGAGACAGCACCTCTCCCGTCAGTGTCCTGTGAAGTCCTGAAGTCACCATCTTCCCTGTGTGCTTTTCTGCATTGGTGCTGCCTAGAAGGAAAAGGAAAGAGATGCTGTTACTGTGACAAACACATGCAAAGTAAGTTCTAATTACTGCCTCACAAAGTCAAATATTTGTTGCAAGCTGAGGACTAATTGTGGGGGGAGGGAGCGGAAGTCGAGGCTCTTGGAGTGTAAGTGGAACAGATGCCCGGACGCCTTGGGGAAACGCAGCTTTCCTCTACAAATCAGAGCTTTAAATTACAAGGCTTTTACCAACGAGAACAGTTGTGGGAAGTCGTCTGCTCTCATTTGCGTAATGGCTTCTGTCACTGGTGATTAGACACAGGATGAAAGAAAAGAAATTTGACAATTAGGAATGAGCGATCATTAATCAGAATCTTTGTTAGAAGGAGGGAAGGGGGGAGGATATCCTGCAAACAATGGAGGCAGCCACTAGAGCCACCGTGAAGTCCATGAGATGCCAAACTCCGAGTGCTACTGTTGCTCTGCAGAGCCCCCTCCGCCTAGGTATGGAGCAGCAGCAAGGGCCCTGGCCTGGTGGGAAAGCTTGTGGAGGAAGGCAGCTCGGCAAAATCCTTCCCACTCTGTTCAGCGATTCTCAGCTATCTGCTTAGCAAGGGAGAGAGCACATCCCAGAGCCCTCTCCTTGCCCCATCAACACCTTGTGCTTTCTTCTTGGTGCCTGGCTGCAAACTGCCAGCAAAACACAGAAACAACTTCTTAAATTTCTGTGGTCTCCTTTCCCTTCAACTGGCATGCAGCCTTGCAGTTTCTGGTGTGGAGGAGAGCGGGCGTGGGCCTTGGCTGGCATGCAGAAAGATTAGGATGAGCAATGTGAAAGCGGTTCCAGGCTCTTTTCCTGATAATGTCATTTCCTACAAGAGCACAGAGGAACATGATGGGCTGCGTGACAGCTAAATAAAGGCAGTTGTGGCTTCTCTGTGTCTATCTGTTTGCTGGCTTAGCTCATCACCCAGCCATGAACAATCCAGTATGTGTCTTTGGGTTTTGTGGGTTTAGATCCAATTATCGGTACACATGAAATCTGTTACCCATTTTTCCTACATCTGTCATTCAAAGTCTTGTCAGTTAAACATTTTGGTGTAGTTTACACTGCCTCTGATGAGATCAACAGTTACAACTTGGGAGAAGGGATGACAGACCATTTGTGGGGCATATAAGGTTGGCTGGTGCATCTCAAGACTTAAGCTTACTGGATTCATTGATTTCAGTGACAGCTCCTGTCTTTGCAAGTCTGGGTCATTTGCTTGAGGCAGAGGTCTCCGTCAGGGTGATTATTCTTTCTGTGACTGGAAATCAAAGCGGATACCTTCAGAGGGAAGAGCTGG